TTTTTTCCCCCGGAGACAGAGTTTCTCTGTGTAGCTTTGCGCCTTTCCTGGATCTTGCTCTATAGACCAGGCTGGCCTCGATCTCACAGAGATCCCCCTGCCTCTGCCTCCCGAGTGCTGGGATTAAAGGCATGCGCCACCACCGCCTGGCCCGTGTCTCTTCCATTTCCAACAGTTCCTCTCTTGTGTCTCCACAGAGTATTTGTGCAGTGTGGGTCTGCAGTGGCTAAGCCTAGTGCTCCTTGGTGGAGTATGTCAGGGGTGCTTTGAAGCTCTTTGCATGCCTGGTGTCACATTCTCAGCATTCGATGCACAGCCTGGGCGGAGGAGGCAGCCTTCCTACAGCGTTCTTCATTGCTTTCCTGCGGAAGACACCTGCCAGGGCTCCTTCTGGGTTCGTTCTCAGCTTGGAGGCACCTAGATGGTGCAACTATTAAAAATTTGCACCCCCAAACCTCTCTGAGGTGGGCTCATGTCTATGAATAATCAGGGGACTTTGGAGGACTTCTTTTGTATTCTCCTCTCTTTGGCAGTGATAGGAGCCTTGTGCTGTTAACACTGAACGGAGCTAAAATGAAGAAGCCAACTCATCCTCCCTCTATGCCATCAGCTGATGCTCTTTCCCTTTGGTCAAATCTTCCACTGTGTGTCACCAGGGAGGATCAGTTTTCTGAGACTTCTACTTACTACTCCTACCTTTGTGTGGTCACAGCTGTGTCTCTGTATGACTCTAAAAACTGAAGCATCATGGCCGGAACACAAGGAAACAACAGAACATGCATTTGCAAGTGTAATGCCCTGGTCATTGACTTTTTTTCTTTTTGCAGGGGAGCTTGTATTTTCTGTCCCGTGCACTTAGTGTATACTTAAGAGAACAGCTACTATATTTCAGACATGCCTACCAGTGTCAGAAGGGAGCTCACAATCTTGAATTTACTATACTGCTGGATAAAATGTTTGAAAAATGAACTCACTGCTGCAAAATGAAAACAATAAATGCCTATTAGGCCCACAGAATCTGCACTTCTCTGTTTTCACGAAGATATGGTTTTTGACTTAATTCTCAAACAAAGACAGGATTTGAACACCAGAAGGAGGAGGGAGGAGGTGGGATTGTGACTGGCCCTGCTCACTGCCCCTCTTATGCTATGCCCTGTGCCTGTTAGCTCTGCCATCTAATTTCCTGATGAGAAGCTTTATTAACTGTTCACAACGCTGTGGTGTTTAAATCACGTGTCGTCCCATAATGCAGTTATGAAAGAGCTGCAGGGTGCTATAGCTTGGATGTGGGATGTCAGCCCAAAGGTCCATGTGCTAGAGACATGATCCAGCACTCGGGAGGCAGAAGCAGGTGGATCTCTTGAGTTTGAGGCTAGCCTGATCTACAGAGCAAGTTCCGGGATAGCCAGGGCTGCACAGAGAAACCCTGTCTCAAAGAACGAAAGAGGTGGGACTTAATCTGTGGTCCTCGGGTCACTAGGGCCCCTACCATGAAATCAGGTAGCTCTTGACCAAGCAGCCAGCCTGGTCCCACAGAGCTCTCTCTCCCTGCCTCGGGTTTCAAGACACAGCAATGCTTCCTCCCACAGGGCCTCAACATCTCCTGTGGGCACCTTTGACTAAACCAATCTCTTCACGAGTAGCCTGCTTCAGGAATGCCACTGTAGTGACATTAAGCTAGGTGAGACACAGAACTACCCTCTTTTACAGGCAAAGGACAAATTTATTCCCCATGAACATACAGCCTCACATCTTAAACATAAAGGCCTAGGATGCTACTATCCATCCTACAATGCCGCAAACAGCCCTCCCCATGCAACAAAGAACCATCCAGTCCAAAAACGTCAGTATTTCTGCTACTGAGACCCCAGTTAGAGGTCAAGAGCTGCCGGCTGCTGCTGCCCTGGGCATTGCTACGGAGGAGCTATGTCCTGTTTCCTCTTCCCCTCACTGTGAATGTTAATGCTCACTCACATTTTCTTCTTTGTACATCACCAGTCTTTATGCCATCCATAAAAGACCAGATTCAAAAAATAGCATGAACAGCTTCAGGCCATTAAAGTAGACTAGGATCTTCCCTGCGGCGAGCAGTCCAGGAGAGACCAGATGCGTCCTCTGCTCCTGACCCTCCAACCCGAGAGGTGCTGCCTGCCTGTGGCTAGGCAACAGGGTTGTATTTCCTCATCTCCGGTGACATTACCAAACCTGACAGCAGCCAGATTAGCATATGTGCACCTCCCCGACTTCTGCTTATGCTTCCTCCTTCCCCTCTGGGGACCATGCCAGGTCAGCTGCTCACACCTCAGCTGGTAAACACAATGTGGGTTGGGTCAACAATGTAAAAAGCTCACCTCAGCCGCCACCAGGCTGATCAAGAAAGTGGCCAGCTGATGTTTTGATTTTCTTCTCATTGTTTAAGCCACAACACCGATACCCTAAACAGTACAATTTGCAACGGAAAAGAGAAAACACTGAAAGTAACAATATAGAAACATTCTAATTGCAGCCATGGAAACAATGACTTCCAAAGAGTCCATTATCAAAAGGGATAGGTTGTAAAAGCCCAATGATGACACAGAGAGGGGAAGAGACCTTTCCCTCCTTCATAACATCAATTACACTTCCACAAACCTGCTACTCGGAAACACACTCTCTACAATTAACCTAGTTGGGGTTAAAGCATTTAATATGACCCTATTTTCATAGATTTTGAATATATCACCTCAAAGCTACTCTATCATTCACCTTCAAACAGGCATAGTTGTTTTAGCAATACTGCCAAGAGAAATGAATAATCTGGCATTAAGAAGTTATTTGGCCCAGCAGACTCTGGCGCCAGACTGCCTGGGTGCAAAACCCAATTCCCACTTGGGATTTTGGTCTGTCCACTCAATCTCTTTGTATGTCTCTGTATTCAACTACAAATTGGAATAACAACAGTGCTCACCTCCAAGAATTGTTATAACATATAAAACCTATAAAGCAAAAAAAAAATATACACATGGCACACAGTCAACACCATGGATGAGTTTCTCAAGTAAATAACAATAATTTTTTGTGTTAAAAAAGTAAATAACTAGGTTTTTTTTGTTTGTTTGTTTGTTTTTGCTGTTGTTCTGTTTTTAAAACAAAGGCCATGTTTTTTTCTTCTTCCAGGCACAGGGCCCACGTTTCCCTTTCTCACTAAATAAATTTATTGAGTGCAGCCAAAGTCATCCTTCTGATCCAGGATTTGTAACTAAGGTATTATGCTTGATTCTCTCTCTCTCAAAAAAAAAAAAAAAAAATTAACCTAATAGAAATGTCAATTTCCAAAATGTCCAGAGAGAAAGAGAAAACAGGAAACCAGCAATAGGGAGATGCCATGAGTACTATTTACATACAAGGGTGATGTTGAAATCATTATTGCCAAAACGGACCATTCATGGAAAACACGAAGTCTGGCCAGTAGTTAGGGATGGTGGCCCACACCTGTCATGCCAGCACTTGGGAGGTGAGACAAGGGAAGTTTCCAATCAATCAATTTTCATGAGACACAGTCTTTAAAAGAAAAAAAGTCCTGGCAGTAAGAAAATGCCTATGGTTCAAATTTAAATTCCACGGACCAGTAACTACAGCTCCCAACAGGAGAATTTTTGACAGGATGGCAACCAACGTTTCCAAAAAGGCAACATGAAAACACCACCACAGCTCAGAGTCAGAGCTCCAAAACTAATGTCAGGTCTTTGCTCTCCTTAAATAAACACCAATTCAGACCTTTAGAAAGGCTTTATTTCCTAAGAACTGTTGCAACAGAAGAAAAGCTTCAGACTCCAAATCTTCAAGTGTCTCGATGTCAAACAAGGCTTTCTTTTATGGGGAAGCCAGGCTGACTAGCTGGAGCTCTAAGGGGGAGAATGGACAAACAACCGAGTCCACAGAAGTCATGAACGGGCCGCGGCGCCGGTTCTTAAGACACACTTTGGTGCTGGTTCAGACTTGGACAACGTGAAGTCCAGGGGCTACCAGGAAGGGCAAAGCCAGAATGCCATGTGCACAAATCAAGGTAACAAACAATGGGCAACTGTGAACAATTGGTCCTTTCATAGGGAGCAGGACTCTAGTTTCAGTTGAACGATTAGAATAAAGAGTAGCTAAGAGTTAAATCTTCTGCAGGTTAGGTAAATACTGAACACAATATTAGTTAATGAGGTATTTCTTGTGGTGGCCCTGAGCATTAATCCTTGATTTCCAGGCACCAGGCTGTGCCGAGTCAGACCTGTGTCCTGCAATCCACTCGGCCAGCCTGGCCAAAGAATTTGCAAACTGAGATTCTCACCCGTGCCCCCCCTTAAATAATCGATTCATCTCATAGAGGCAACCAACAACTAGAATACGCACAAAACAAAGAGTAACAACAAGGGAATATGGAACTGACTTTTACAAGAATAAATTCCAAATGCTGGAATGGGAGCATCTGGGAATAAACAAGAGCTGCAGGAAGTTTTTTTTTTTTTTTTTTAAATGTTCTATTAAAAACCTCAGCACACACATTTCACAGACATTGGCTTGGAAAATCTAGCCCACACGCTTTCTGGTCACATGAAACAAAGTATGAAACAGTTCAAGACTAGGGAAACAGTAAACCACCTATGGGGGGAAAAATAGTAGAATGCTCGTTACTAATGTAATGAACAGGCTGAATGAAAGAGTTTAGATTCTAACTGTGTTGTTTTGATGTTGTTACCGGAGCAGACCACTCTTACTAATTTAAAAGTTCTGTAATCATTTCACATACTGAAAACCAAAGCTGGGCCCGAGTGCGGTAGAGCAGGCCTTTAATCCCAGAGGCCAGCCTGGTCTATAGAGAGAGTTCCAGGACAGCCAGGGCTACACAGAGAAACCCTGTCTTGAAAAACCAAAAAGAAAACCAAAGCTGGAAGGACCAAAGCAGTGACTTAGTTTAAAGCCTTTTAAAAACTTACTTTGGCGTTTTACTATTTGGGACGTGATCCACTTACCTGTCCATGATATATTATGGCTCTCCAAGGAAAGGTTTGAGTACTTTGCCATCATTTCTTCTCGAACAGGTAGACTTGTAAAAGATGAATCTGCAAGACAAAGTACATGGAGTTACATTTCAGATCGCCTCACCAAGACTAGATGACTATTTAAAAACCAGCTTGGAGCTGGCCCGATAGTTTAGTGGGTAAAGGTGCTTGCTGCCAAGCCTGGTGACCTGAGTTTGGATGTGCATGCTGTGTGTATGTGTGTGTGTGTGTGTGTGTGTGTGTGTGTGTGTGTGTGTGTGTGTGTGTGTAAGAATATATATATATATATGCTAAAAGCATCTGGTCAACATTCTTTTCCTAATAAAAATTATTCCCATTCTTGGGCATAACTCATATAGAGATTATATTAAAGAAATAATACTGTAAGTCCCAGGCAGATGCCACTCACTCAGTGCTGGTTAGGGAGGGAAAAGTGGGTAGAAAAGAGCTATCGTGACTGCCATCTGATCTTGAATGCTGCAAAGTCTACACCCCCTGGTTTGGAAGCCCTCCTTTCCCTGCCTAGCTGACTACTGTGAGATTTCGCATCGAACGCCCTATTCCTGAAACAGGAACGGGACCTTCTTCAGACGGTCAGACACCACTCATTCTGGTGGTGGTTATTATCATTCATACTTTTAATCATAGGAGAGTGACAAAAGCTGAAGAAAAAGTGCCTTGGGTCATTTTTATCCCGACTCCACTTAAGTAAGGACAGAAGTACCTGGTATACAGTGTGTGCTGACAAAGAGTAGGAAGTGGGGTCAACGGGATCCCTAAAAGCTAATGGATGATAAAGTAGCTGTTTGGGCCACACTTGATGGAGTCATTAAAATTTCAGAGAAACACTTATTCCTGGTATTAACTGTCAGGAGCTTGTGTCTTTCACACGAGTTCGCACAGGATCTACAGAAGGTAAGCCTGACTTTGGAAACAGCATGAAGGTAAAGATCACTGTAGATCAGAGATGGAGATATTTCCTTTCCTCATCTCAAGGGACCAACTATGGAAGAACCAATCTGGGTCAAGAATAGAACCAAGAGAGGAAGAGGATTCAAAGGCTGAAGTTGATCAAAATCTCAGTTCACAGCAGCTGAAAGAATAAGAGAAGGAAAAACAAGCCACCTGATGCAAGATAACCTGGAGAGTTCCAGAATATGCTAGCTGTTTGGGCCATTTCTTAAACATACTCAGATCTCAGAGCTATCGTGAATGCCATCTGATATTGAATGCTGCAAGTCTGTGACCCTGTCACTAGCTGAGGCTAATGCCACATCTTCGTTAAAGCATCAATCTCTTTATTTTATTCTGGTTTTTGAAGACAGGGTTTCTCTGTGTAACAGCCCTGGCTGACCTGGAACTCACTGTGTAGACCAGGCTGCCCTTGAACTCTCAGAGATCCCGCCTGCCCCTGCCTCTGCCTCCGGAGTCCTGGGATTAAAGGCGTGCACCACCACTGCCCAGCTAAAGCACCAATCTTGATCAGGCTCTACTTCCCACTGAACATGCAAAAGAATTCCTTCAAGAAGCAGCGTGAACAAATGCTATGCTATTTTGTGAGTATAAAAGCAGGCGAGGAGACGCTTGACTAGTAAAAGTGAGTTCTTTGGACAAGATATTCTGTAAGCAAAAAAGTGAGACTGTAAACCTTCCTGCTTCTACATGAGGACAGCTGGCAGTGAGGGGCTGATTTAGCAAGCAGGTGCATGCAAAAGAAATGGACAGGGGAAGACTCGGACAGATGTGGTTCAGATAAGTCCCTGAAAGGATTAGGCTGAGTCACAAAAAGAAATAGAAAAGGAAGAGGTAGGAACTGCCTGTCCCAAGACAAGATGGGCCAGTGGGGCTTGTGACTGGAAGTATCAAAGTGTGATTGATTGATGATAGCTCAGGGCTTTGATGACAAGGTCTCCACTATACACCTCGGGTCTTAAGAGAAAGTAGGGGAAGGGACTAGGAAAAGCCACATAAATACCGAGTGATGGTGCCAAGTTCAAAACTTGCATTCTTCAAGGCATTACAATCACCCTTTTCTTAATCATCTCTGGACATTTGCCACCTGGCCTCTCTTACAGGTAGTGGCAAAACACCAACATAAAAGAATAACAGGCAGGGGTTGCTGCCGAGATTAGAGGATTTTGCTTCCTCCCTCGGAGGGGAGATGGTGCATGAAGATACTTATCACAGCACTGAGTGGCAACCTCAACTTTCAACCTATTGTTACTCGATGGGAAAAATGGTTTCCATTACATTTTTAAAAAGCTCTTCCTAGAGGGCCTTATAATTCACGGTGGTACCACTATCAAATGAAATAAATGTTTAGTGTCTTCTATAACTACTGTTTCGCATACTTCACTTTGTGTATTTTTTTTTTTAAGAAGCAGACTGGAAGGAGTGTAAGAAAGAAGAAATGCTAGAAAATGGGGTGGTGTCTTAAGAATTGTTTTTATTTAAGTAAGGAAACACCCAAGTACATCTCCTGTATAAGAATAACTACTTCCTCTAAGCTGGGCCTGCAATCTTTGCAATTACTCAGGAGGCTGAGGCAGGAGGATTGCAAATCAAAGGCCTGCCTGGGAACTCAGTGAGATACTGCCTCAAAGTAACAGATAAAAAGAGGGCTGAGAAACATGTCAATTGTATATCACTTCCTATGCATGTGCAAAACCCTGGGTTTGACCCCCAGTACTAAAATAAATAAATAAATAATACTCTCCAACGTCTGTCTATTGCATCGTCTCTAGATTTTTTTCCAAGTTTATTTGCATGTACGTGTGCTTGTGCGACTGTTTACCACATGCATGCAGGAGCCTGTGGAGGCCAGAAGGGGGCGTCAGGTCCCATTGAGCATATAGGTGGTCATGAGCTGCCAGGTGGGTGCTGGGAACAGAGCGGTCGGTTCCTCTGCAAGATCAGTACATTTCTCTTAACTGCAGGGCCGTCTCTGTAGGCCCTTCTCATTACATTGTAATATTTTGGACTTAACACTTTATGTTTAAAGTGGCATCACTAGGGCAGAGCACTTGTCTAATGTGAACATGACCCTGCACTGCTCAATCCACAAGACCGCAAAAAAGAAGTTCTAAGTCCTTATTAAAGTAAATAGTATTCTTCATGTCTCAATTACTATCAATATGCATGCTTAAGATTATTTTAATAAATCTTCATTTTAGCATTCTGACACAATTATAAAAACACTACAACTTACCAACAGGTAAGATATACTGGTGATAAATCTTTTTTTTTTTTTTTTTTTTTTTGATGGTTTTTCGAGACAGGGTTTCTCTGGGTAGTTTTGATGCCTGTCCTGGATCTTGCTCTGTAGACCAGGCTGGCCTTAAACTCAAAGATATCCACCTGGTTCTGCCTCCTGAGTGCTGGGATTAAAGGCGTGCGCGCCACCACCGCCCGGCTTACTAGTGATAAATCTTAAGTGTGAAAAATCAGTGTATTTCTTCATGGAGGTAATAAAATATTGAACTACAGGACTGCAATATTATGGCTTACCTACAGCTTTAAAACACCTTATTACCAGGTAAAATCCAGGTAAAAAAATGCATGAGTAATGCATTTGGAGTTACATTTCTGGGTTCTAGGTATCTAGTATTCCTATCCCCTTTTATCACTATAGTAGAAAGGAAAGAAGTGGGGGTGGTGTGTGAGGATACTTGGAGTTGTGGACATATTCCAGAGCTTGTTAAGAAAATAAAGAGCTGACAAGAAAATGAAATGTGTTGTCTTGATGGAATCATTTATAAGTCAACCTTTAAAGTCACAGACAAAGAACATTCCAGGCAGGTAACTAGTATATTTCAGATAATATGAGAATTACTGAAAGGCCTTTTATCTTTGAGTTTTTTAAAACTCTAAATGACAAGCACAACGTGTACTTGTACATGACCTCCTAAAGCATTCCATAATAACACTCTTTACAACCAAGCATTATTCAGACCAAAAAGGAAATGGCGCAAAGACCCAGAAACCTTGGCTGAGTAGATACATCCTCAAATCCCATTCTCGATCCAGTATGACTGTTTTTTATAATCTACAAACATTCCCGTAACCCAGTGGTCCTGTTCTGCACAGTTTACACACAAATATTTCAAAGCACAGATAATCAAGCCAGCATTCACAGGTGACTAACAGCCTCCTGCCCTGGGTCTCCTTTGAGGATCTTTTTAGGAGGAAAACTCATTGCTGAGTGGATCACTCAAGTGTGAAACAAGAAACCAGCTATGGCTTGCTCCTTGCCCCTAGATACACAAAGGCACTGTGAGCGTTAAGATCAATCAAAATTCCCTTTCAGGTTCTTAGCTTGTGTAACTGAAAGGCCAAAAAAAGATTTTATCTTGGCCTGGATGTGATGGCACACGCCTGTAATCTCGGCGCTCTTGGGAGGTGGTGGCAGGAAATGAGGAATTCAAATTCATCCTTGGCTGCACAGTGAATCTAAGGCCAACCACAGACATCTAAAACCCTCCCTCAACAAAACAAAACAAAACCAGAGAAGACTGTGTTTGGGGATTAGGAGGGATACATTAGTTATGCTAATCTCAGTAACTTTAAAAACAGAAAAAAAATGTGTTCAATAAAATGAACAGCACTATCTTTGAAAAAAAAGAAAGAAAGAGAGAGAGAGAGAGAAAGAAAGAAAGAAAGAAAGGAAGGAAGGAAGGAAGGAAGAAAGGAAGAAAGAAAGAAAGAAAGAACACATCTAACTATTTCTGTGGACATGTTCTTTAAAAAATAGTACCAGGAGTTGGAGGGACAGCTCAATAGTTAAGATCACTTACTGCTCCTACAGAGGACCCGGGCTCAGTTCCTAGCACACACACCAAGTGGCTCACAAGCACCTGTAACTCGAGTTCCAAGGAATACAATGCACCCTTCTGGCCTCCGCCAGCACCTAGTGGTGCGTATAATCATACACAGGTAAGCACATACACATCAATTTAAAAATGGAACCAAACACACGGGTGACCAGTTCTCAACTACTGTTTGAATGGAATGCCTGTGGCCAGTCAAGTTTTCTCCGAAAAAGCTGAGCTAATTTTGTTTTT